GACATAAACAACACCTTACAGTACAATGCTTCTATATTAGTCAGTCCCTCTAGCAACAGAGCATGTATGTGGCATAAATGACATATGGTATACGACATTTTTGTAAGTCAAGCCCTCAAGCACCAGAGTACAAAAAAAATGTACTTGTTTTACACAAATGACACTACAGACCATTTCTATATTAGTCAAGCCCTAGAGTGATAAAGCCTTTGCGCGATGTAAATGACGCTCTCCATCGTGTGATTCATTGGTCATTCAAGAAAGTGAAAGTGTCAAAAAAACAATGAATAGTCAAAAATAACAATAGCAAAATTGGCCATCAGGTTATCCCGTAGACGAACATTGGTACTGCATATGAAATACTGCATTGCCCTATATCTTAGCTTTCAGATGATGTATAGATATGTTATAGTAGTAAACTTTAATAGAAACATTTACAGAATGTCAGAATCACAGGTTTTAACTCTATTCCCCCCTGTGGCTAGCTTAAAACAGAAAATAAAATGAGACACACTTCACTGATCTTCATCACGATACTTTCTACGAACTTTAATTCACGTGTTCTACATAAATCTTGACAGTATCCAGGAAACATTTGTTTGCTCCAGTGGCACCATTAGCACAACTCTTCAACCATGTCATTTCACATGTTATACAAGAATAGCTACTGAAAATGTTTCCGTTTCCATATACATATTCAAATGATACATACATGTTGCCATGAGCGACACAAAACTCCTTTTAATAATTTCAAATTTTAAATTCTCCCAACACTAACATATGCAAATTACCTGACATGCTTGGACACCACTAAAAAATGCCTATACATGTATACACAAACACTTTTCTTTATTACAAGACTGCCAGTAGTGAATTCTCCCAACATAGACATATGCAAATTAGCTAACATGCTTAGAAATCACTGAAATACAGGCAACACTTTCTTCATCACAAGACTGCCAGTTGTGAATTTCAAATTCTCCCAACATAGACATATGCAAATTAGCTGACTTGCTTACAAAGCACATTTCGTTTTGTACACAAATATTAATTGAGTGAGGAGATTTCACAAAAAGAGCTAAAATAGGACTTTCTTTCTACATCCAAGAAAAAGTTGTCAATACAAATGAGAACACATGATATATGTAGAGTAATAAAACAACAAGACTTTTCAGGCCTTGCTTTTCGAAATAGCTGTAGAGTGAAAAATAATTGTTTTTTTTTTGAGGCATGTTATTTTTAGCTTACCTTGGAGAAATTTTGTGCTCGCAAATCACTCACGAGTGATCATTCACCTTAAAAGGAAAGGTCTGACTTTTGAAATGTGGTTTGCTAGTTCATCGGCCAAATGTTTCTGAACTTTTTTCTTATATTCTTCAAAATTTCTGGAAATGAACCCTAATTTTGGAGCTAATTGACAAAATTTTTAGTTTTTACTCAAAAAATATTTTATCCCATTCTTCTGAAGGAAAGTGCGGACTATAAATGGGAATATTTTGTGAATTTGTGATGAAAAGAGGAAACTGGTAGTGAAAAGGCTAAGGGAACATACACAAGTGTGTTTTTTTAATCACAGAAAAAATGGCATTCTGGGTAATATTCAAATGAATTCGCCAATTTTCAATTTAGAATTTTTTATAGAGGTCTAGCGCAATGAAACTGATGGGTTTAAATATAACATTATAACAACACTTTTTGCAGAGATTGTAAAATAGGTAAAGAGGATCTTACCTTCTGTTACTGTATATTTGAGACTCTCCAGTAAGGGTTGGCTTAATGGCTGACACAAATACCTGCAAGGTAGAACAGACAAGATGAATTCAAACGCTAATGGATACAAACCAAAGTGACAGTTACAACATTCTAATTGAATTCATTGAAAAAATTCTCCCAAAAAAGAACACTTTTCAAGAACTATATGTAATAGGATATAATGTATACTGTACGATTATGCAAATCAAGAAACATATTATTCTTATAAATGCCATGAGTTTTCTGTGGCAAAAGTTGATGTTACATATTTTACGCATTTTTTTATCATTTTTCTGTTTTTAATTTTAGAGCTGTGTCAAATAATTTTGTGTTTTAAAAATGAACTTCACACTGCTGCCAGTGAGAAATGATTCCAATGTCTTCTTAATATATTTATATGCGTGAGTGTAAGTGCTTCATTCACATTCATCTTCACATCTCACACTGATACATCTTTACAGAGATAGCTATGTTCATTTTCAAGAAATCAGTCAGGACATATGGGGTATTATATGTTTCATGCATCTTTCATGAGATCTGTCAGACATTTGATATTCCACAACTAATCGGCCCTTATATGCAGTATTACCTCTCAATATAATCAGCTGATCATGACACCAAAAAATGCACAGAAAAAATGACAAATTAGTATTAGAGTTTATGAAATAAGCAGGAGGTGAAAGGGGCCAGCGTAGCTCTGAATTTACATCGGAGGGCCAGCAAAGCACTGATTGACTTGAG